AGCCTCCTTCTAAGCAGCCCTCCCCCCTCCCTGCACCCCCTTGTGCGCGCCGCCCAGTGTGGCAGCCGCCGTGCCGACGCCCCCTCCTCCGCGGCTTCCTCCCTCCTTCGCCACTGTTCAGAGCCCCGAATCATCAGGGGTAACTCGGGTCAGGGATAACTCGGGTTCGTTTTTCGGGAATCCGAACCCGAGTTACCCCGGACCCGAGTTACCCCGGATAATTCGGGCGTCCAGGGCCCCGAATCATCAGGGGTAACTCGGGTCAGGGCTAACTCGGGTTCGTTTTTCGGGAATGAGTTACCTCGGACCCGAGTTACCCCGGATAACTCGGGCGCCCAAACTGTCCCGCTGCAGATCTGTTGTCCGTCCTCCCCACCTCCAGCTCTGCCGACCGGTGCGAGCGCCGGGCCCGCGACGGAGCAGTGACGGCCGTCGGCGGCAGCCGGCCGCCGGCACCGCCCGTGGAGTCCCTCACGGCCTGCGCGCACGTGTGCTTCGCCCCCGCCGCCTCCCGTGGCCGCCGCCTCCCTCGAGATCGGGGCCTCGCGCTTTTCCTCACCTGGCGTTGCCTCCTCCTCCTCCTCCTCCTCCTCCTCCTCGTCCTCCTCCTCCTCCTTCGCTTCTCTCCTCCTCCCCGTCCTGCTCCACCTCCTCCTCCACACTCCCCTCTCACCACTACCCCCCCGCCTCGCCCGAACCCCTCGCCGGTCGCCGCTCCCTGGGCCCCGGCGCTGTCACGGATCGATCTGGCTCCGGAAGCGCTGCAGAGCGATGGCGTCTGAGGCTCGGGTCGTGATATGATCTCGCGATGCTGCGCATTTTCTTCGCAGCGTCTCGGATCTCGGGGCCGCAGCGCCGGATCTCAGGGTTCCCTCTCTTTGTCTCCCGTGACCGGCTGGCGATTCCTCTCCCCCCTCTGCCGCCCCGAGCGCGCGGTGCGGCCGCCATTGCTACGACGAGAGGATACAGCTGTCGTGTCTGGGCTCCACAGGGCTGCAACCCGCGACGCGCTCTTCCGCAGGCTCTGGGCCCGAGGGCAGGACACTACTTCTTTTTTCCAGGTCACAGAGAACCACATCTACGTCAAGGAGCTTCCTTCCCCAATGGAAGCGAGGCCGTAATCTATGGCACTCGCTGTTTGCACGGCTCAAATGGCCGTGACTTGACGTCGGAGTTTTTGGGCCTCTTGGGAGCTTGCTTGCTGCAGGGCTCGGAGCTTCTTCAGGCCTTTGGAGAGCCTGCTGGGGGTCTTACGGCCGTCCTGGAGGATCTTGTGGCCGCCCAGGGGGATTCTGGGCCTGCTTGGGAGAGCCGTGTGGCCGTCCTGCGGGCGAATTGAGGCCGCCCTGGGGCGGTCTTGAGCTGCCCTGGAGGCGTGTTCAGGCGGTCTTGAATTGTTTTGGAACTTTGTTGGGTGTTCCTCGTATCGTCTCGGCATTTGTTGCTGCTTTGAGCCTCTTGGGGGCCATGGGGAGTCTATGGGCCTCTTGCGGCTTCTTATGGCGGATCGACTGAGGAGGAGGAGGAGGAGGAGGAGGGTGAGGAGGAGGAGGAGGAGGAAGAGGAGGCGGGGGAGGAGGAGGAGGAGGAGGATGAGGAGGAGGAGGATGAGGAGGAGGAGACGAGGAGGAGGAGGAGGAGGAAGGAGGAGGAGGAGGAGGAGGAGGAGGAGGAGGAGGAGGAGGCGGGGGAGGAGTGGGCGGCCAAACACGCTGGCAAGCTTCAAGTATTGGGAAGGCATTACGGCCTGCTCCGCCGACCCTGAACGGGGGATGACGACGACGACGACGCTGACGCTCTGCAACCCTTCTTGGGGCTCTATTGGGAGCCTCTTGGGCTCTGTTGGAGGGCCTCTTGGGGGGACTCCTTGGGAAGCTCTGTGGTTACGACGACGACGATGTTGTTGACGATGACGATGACGATCGTGATCGTCGTCGTCGTCGGAGCGCCGCCTCGAAGCGGATCTGAGGCCTCTTGGAGGCATGCCGGAAAATACGCTGCACCCCGCAACAGCAGGTAAGAGTGAGGGGGGGTCCAGGAGGAGGGTGGTAGTGGTGGTGGTGGTCCCCTTGTCCACTGGGAGGTGGCGGGGCAGATGTCCTGACTTCCCCTGTCCGTATGCATGGCCCCATGGGGAGCTCCGCCTAAGGCCCCAATGGCGACGTTCGGATACGTCCCCCCCGCCCATGACGGCGCGCCCCTCACAGGGTTCGTGGCCCCGTAGGGAGCTCCACCGAAAACCCGAGTGGCGAGTCTCTCCCGCTCATTGCGGCGCACCCCTCACACGGTTCATGGCCTTATCTGGGGGCTCCACTGAATGCCCCGGTGGCGAATTTCGCATGCGCCTCCCTCAACTACAAGAGCGCCGTCTCACACTGCTCGTGGCCCCACAGGGGGTTCCTCCGAAGACCCCAGTGGCGGCGTTCGCATGCGCATCCCCCGTCCATGTCGGCACACCCCTCACACTGTTCGTGGCCCTGGATGGGGGCTCCGCCGAAGACCACAGCGGAGAATTTCGCATGCGATTCCTCACCCATTCCGGCGCCGTCTGACACGCTTCGTGGCCCCACAGGGTGCTCCGCCGAAGGCCCCGGTGGCAACGTCCGGAGGCGCGTCCCCCACCCACTGCGGCGCCGTCTCGTTCTGTGCTTGGCCCCATAGGAAGCCTCGCTCAGTGCCCCAGTGGCGACGCCCCCCCGCCCGTTACGGCGCCATCTCGTACGCTTCGTGGCCCCTTAAAGAGCTCCGCCTAAGGCTCCAGTGGGACCGTTCGCATGCGTCTCCTCCGGCCATAACGGCGCACCTCTCACACGGTTCGTGGCCCCACGAAGAGCTCCACCGCAGGCCTTAGTGGCACCGTTCGCGTCTTCTTCCCCAGCCCATTTCGGCACACCCCTCACACGTTTCGTTGGCCTCATCCGCATGTCCCGTGCCCCATCCTTCCCGCGCTACCTACGATGAGGTGGTCATGCATAGCGTGCTTCGTAGCTGCATGTGGTTGGGTCCTTCGTCAGGCTAGTCATTCGACAGGGGTGGTGGCCCTGCGCGTAGCAGGCAATATGCGGGCCTCCCCGCCGTCCCTGTCAGAAGTCAAAACAAAGTGCTCGCGGCCCCCCGAGCATGATCCAAGATTCTGCCCCAAAGTGTGTTTTGTATTGTTTTGACCGGGATGGTGGGGGGGGGGGTTGGCATGAGTCCTGGTTGGCTGCTGGTCGCATGGGGGGAGGGGGTGTTTGTTAATATGGAACAGTGATCCAGTTCCCAGCGAGAACGCCGCAAGTTGTCTCGCTCACTCCCACCCGCCCTCCTACTTCATAAGTAGCACCCGAGTCTCAGCAAAGGCAAGAGCCGCCATCGACAACCATCGGGAACCAATGCAGATGCAAGCCAGGTGCGCGAAGACCGCGAGGTGCGCCGCACATGCCAGTTGCGCCACGCGCACCAGGTCCGCCACATTCGGCAAGACATCGACCTCCCCACCATTCCCGTCAAAAGCACCCGCAAAGTAACGGCGGGTTTGCGTTGTGCATTTTGTGTGGATGTGCACACGCGCTCACTTTGCGATTGCTTTTTGATAGGGATGGTGGTACTGAACAAAGCAGCCAGTATGCACCCCCTTCCTGCCGTCCCTGGCAAAGAGAACTTTGTATATTTTGTTACATGGATGGTGGGCTTGCACACACAAGGCAATATGCCGTCTCCCCCGCCGTCACAATCAAAAACCAATACAAAGCGATCGTGGGAATTCTGCGCATGACTCAGATTTTGGTGCAAAGTGCACTTTGTATTGATTTTGTTGAAGGGGATGGTAGGGGGATGTTGGCATTGCGCGCAGCAGGCAATATGCTGTCCCCCCCGCGGTCGCTTTCAAAAACCAATGCGAAGTGATCGCGTGGCGTCCGCGCATGATCCAGATTTCGGTACAAAGTGCATTTTGCATTTTTTTGGGAAGGGATGGTGGGGGTTGTTGGCATTGCACACAGCAGGCAATGTTCTGCCCCCCGCCGTTCTAGTCAAAAACCAATGCAGATTCGTCGCGGGCTTCCGCGCATGATCCAGATTTTGGTACACGTGCACTTCGTACAGGTTTTTTGCATGGGATGGTGGGGGGTGCCCGCATTGTCCCTGGTTTGTCGCTGGTCGGGAGGGGGAAGGGGGTGTACATTAACACAGAGCAGTGATCAAGCTACTCCCCCAAATTTCAAAAGGAAGGTCACAAGCTGTTTCGTTCTCTCCCACCCGCCCGCCCAACACGTAGCTAGACTTTGAGCCTGGGGCCCCCATCCCAATGAGTTCATGGCCTGGGATCCCCCCTCAAGCGAAGTACCAGTACTGGCACCAACTGTCAAAATGTAACATTATCAAGAACTGGGGTAAGTATGGAAGCTCAGAGCTAAGAGCGTCACCTCGAAGAGTACAACGAGGGTGTCGGCAGCCACGTGCAGCTGGAAAAACAGGAACATACGGTTGCCCAACCTGATGTATCACCCAACCACCCCATCGGCATTACGACCGGGTCCCGCAACAGGTACTGAACACCATGGGCGCGGCTGGCGTGGAGAAAGTACCTCCTGGGAAGTTGTGGGACGCAGGGTGCACTTAGTCCACGCACGATCCAGACGCGGACGCTAAATGTGCTTTGTAGTGTTTGTGTCAGGGATTGCAGGGGGCCCTCACGCACGATCCAGATCTGGACGCAAAGTGTAATCTGCATTGTTTTTTTTATGGGGATGGTGTGGGGGTAGGGGGTTGGTTTGGTTCCAGGGTCGCCCCCAGTGAGGTTGAGGAGGGGGGTCTATATTCATGAAGAGCAGTGATGAACCCTTTCCCCGAAGGGAAGAAGGGGTTCGGAAGAGGAAGCGCCCGACGGCGACGGCTGCGACGGCGGCGACGGCGGCGGCGGCTGCGGCGGCGATGACAAACGACAACGACGGCGGCTGCAACGCTGGCGGCGACGGCGGCGGCGAGCCGCCGCGGCGACGCCCCCCCTTCCCTTGGAGGCGTGGTTCCGCAGGGCCCTGGCGTGCGAGGGCATCGGCAGGCTCGGGGACGCCGCGCTGGCCCTGCGGCGGGCGGCCGACGGCGCCGTGGGCCGCGCGGACCGCGCGCGCATCGCGCGGAGCGCGCAGGCGCGGCCCGCGCGCCGCGACGGTTCAGGTTCTCGAGGTTTTGGCACGGCCTGGAGCTCCTCGCGCTCCGAGGCTTCGAGGCCTCGAGGTCTTTTTTTTTGTGTTGGGGACGTCTTGGGGCCCTCTGGGCCGCCATGGGTCTCGGGAGGTCTCCGCGGGGACCCCTGGAAGCCTTCGGAGGCCTCCGACGTCGTCGTCGTCGTCGTCGTCGTCGTCGTCGTCGTCGTCGTCGTCCTCGTCGTCGTCGTCTCTTGGGAGGATTCTTGGAGCTTCGAGGCCTCTTCTGGCCCTCCTGGAGGCCTCATGGGGCCTCTCGGGCGCCTCTTGGGGCCCTCTTGGGGCTCCCTCTCGGGGGCTTTTTGAGACGTCCTGAGGCGATCTTGGAGGCCGCCGGGTAAACGAGGGGGCGGCGCCGATACTCCGCGCACCCCCTGAAGGCCAAAATCGGTTCAAAACCTGAGAGGCATGATCCATGTTTGCCGTCTCGCTGAGGTCATCTTGGATGCTCTGGCCGCTCGCGACCACCCCCCGTCCAGACCCAGGGGTAGGGGGTAGGGGGTAGGGGTCAAGCTATCCCAAGCCGCAGGCTGTGCGTCGCTCACTCCCTGCCGCCCTCCCGACTCCTAGGCAGCATCCGAGCCTTGGCCCTCGATCCCACGGAGTGCATGAGTCCCGTCAGAAGCGCAGTGCCGAGCATTCATTGAGAAGGGGGGATCCCTAAGCACCAGCACCAATTCGCACATCGTTCTTCCTCGAAGCCTCGTGCCCAGACAAAGTGCGAACAACACTTTTTCTTTGTGCTCTCGGAGCCACTGCGAGATGCTCGCGGGGCTCCCGTACCCGAAGCAGTTTTTGCCACAGTGTGCACTGCCTTGTGTGCTGACAGGGGCGCCCGCCCTCTGCTTTGCCGCGCACTGCTTGGACTTGCCCCTCGGCGCGCACACGGCGGCTCTCACGGCCCCCGCCCGCGGCCTCCCCGGCCTTCCCCCCCCCCCGCGTGCCTCTCCCCCGGGCCCGGCTGTGCCCTGGCGCACCCCGCCGCTGCTTGACCGCCCTGTGACTCCCTCACGGCCGCCGCTCCAGAACGTGCGTTGACAGGTGGCAGGGATGGCGAGCCTGCGCAGAGCGGACACTGGGACAGGGCACCGCCGCCGTCCCTGTCCAAAAAATCGGGCCGCAAGATGATCACAGGGGGCGCCCGCGCACGGTCTAGAGATTTTGCTACAGCATGAACTCTGCATGGGGTTCTGACAGGGATGGGAGGCTTGCACGGGGCGGACAATATGAGGGCACCGCCGCCGTCCCCGTCAAAAAGCCACAGCAAAGCGATCATGGGTCGCCCCCGCACGGTCTAGAGATTTTGCTGCAGCGTGACTTCTGCATGGTGTTCTGGCAGGGATGGGAGGCCTGCACGGAGCGGACACTGCGAGTCACCGAGCGCGTTCCACTGCTCGCAGAGTGCCTGCTCGCAGACGTCCGAAAGACAGACGTCTGCTACCATCGACTTTATATCGCAGGATCCCCCGCGGCGGACCCGGGCCGGTTGCGAGCAGTCGCTCTGCGAGTCGTGGAACGCGCTCGTCTGGTGAGGGCCCCCCCATCGCCCCCGTCAAAAAGCACAATGCGCAGTGCCCACGGGGCGCCCGCGCGCGGTGCAGACTGGCCGCAGCGTGCACTTTGCATCTTTCGGCTCGGGGTCCACGTGGGGGGCCCGCTGCGGCCTGGACGCTTCGAGGACATGTTGACTGGTGGATGGGCGGTGGCGGCTTCTCCTCGGCCGCGAAGCGTCAGGACCCGAACCGTGAGGCCCCCGGCGTCTGCCCTGCCCTTCGCGTAGTTGCTCAGCGCTCTCTCTCGATGCGGCTCTCCTCCCACCCGAAGCCGGGGGATCCTGGCCGAGCGCTCCCCCGATCCGCGAACTCCATGAACCCGTTCGCGTTGCTGGTGCGCGGCCCTCCTCACGTGTGCACTCGCACCCCGCTGCCTCGAGCTCCCACTCGCCGACCGTCCTAGGGGGCCCAGCGCAGCTGGCAGCCCTCCAGCTTTTTGAGCTTGTGCTGCACGGCCAGGTGGCCCACCCGATACTCGTTGCCACAGCGCCACATCGTGCCGGTGCCGCGGCACATCTGCAGGCACGAGTCCGTCCCGGTCGGCGCCCCCAGGGGCTTCACATCTTTCAAACCTGTCGTGCTTGCCGTCGGGCTTCTTGACGGCGGGCACCCGCATCGTGTTCCTGCCAGGCGGGTCCTCTCTTCAGGGGGAACAGGCTCGGGCATGCTTTTGTAGGCGCACGTCTTCGCGCGGTCGCGCAGTGTTTTCCAAGGAACGTCGCCCTCGCAGTCGCCCAGGTAATCTGCGAAACACTGGATCATCTTGCCGCACTCCGTCCCGAACTGCGCGGGTAGATCGGCGATTGTGCACTGCCCAGCCGTCTCTTACTTGTTGACGTTGGCTGCACGGGTGGTCGTTTATCGTCATGTCTTCGACGTGCTGCAGCGTGATCGGGGAGGTCCAGGGGCGTCCCCAAGGTCTTCGGCAGAACCACCACAGGGTGGATGGCTGCCATGCGGCTGCAGCCAGAAGCGGGCGGAAACAAATCTCTCCGAGCCGAAGAGCTTGAGAACCAGATTGCCGCGTCCATGTCAAACCCTCCGCCTCGCCCTCAAGGGGGACATCTTTTTGTGGGGTAGCAAGGCCGTTCCCGTGACGCTGTCCTTCGGAACGCAATGCAATCGCAAGTTGCGCGATGCCAGATCCACAATCAACAGTCATGTATACATTGAGCGCGAACGACCGTGTTTTCAGTGACGGAACCGGGAACCAATTTTTCAGTTCCCCTTGGAGTCCCCTGGTCAGAAGCTGTCCCGAGTGCCCCTCCACGCGCGGGGGCGTGCAATGCGTGGATCCATGTTTTGGATCTCCCCTGTCGGGCCTGGCCTTCGCTGCGGTCATGCCTCCAGGTGGTTCTGGCTCTGATGATGGTTTTGGCGTGGGCTCTGGTTCTGTCTCTGGTTCTGGCTCTGGCTCTGGCTCTGGTTCTGGCTCTGGTTCTAGTTCTGCCTCTGGCTATGATTCTGGCTCTGGTTTTGGTTCTGGTTCTAGCTTTGGTTCTAGCTCTGGCTCTGATTCTGGCTCTGGTTCTGGCTCTGGTTCTAGCTTGTAGCTCTGGTTCTGGCTTTGGCTCTGGCTCTGGTTCTGGCTCTGGCTCTGGCTGTGGCTCTGGTTCGGGCTCTGGCTCTGGTTCTCGCTGTGGCTCTGGTTCAGGTTCTGGCTCTGGCTATGGTTCTGCTTCTTGCTCTGGTTCTTGCTTTGGTTCTGGCTCTGGTTTTGGTTATGTCTCTGGCTCTTGTTCTGGTTCTGCTTCTGGTTCTGCTTCTGCTTCTTGCCCTGTTTCTGGTTCTGGTACTGGTTCTGGCTCTGGCTGTGGTTGTGCATTTGTGGATGCCCCCTTTTGCCGCATCAGGTGACGGGGGAGCGCAAAGAACATGAGCAAGCGCAGAAAACAACAACAGAGCTTCCTGCCCGGGGGGCATTCACTTGTGGATGCCCCATTCTGCCGCATCAGGTCACGGGGGGTGGGCAAGGATCAAGGGCAAACGCAGCACATATCATAGTTTCCTGCTTGCAGCCTCAACACTCTTCGGGCATCCTCCGTACGAGGAAGGAGGGAAAAAGGAGTGTGAAATCTGCAGAAGCAACCAGAAGCAACTTCGAAGTGCACCGTGCCTGCTCCAGCGCGTTGTGCAGTCGTCGTCGTCGTCGCCGCCGCCGCCGTCGTCGTCGTCCTCCTCCTCCTCCTCCTCATCCTCCCCCTCCTCATCCTCCCCCTCTGCCTGTTCCTCCCAATCAGAATCCCATGGAGGGCAGAATCAATGGAAACGCCTTAGGAAACAGCAATCCTGGGGATCTTTCCAGGGGGGGAGTTGCCCAGGATTTTTTGTTTTATAAATGTTTTTGTTGTTGTTGTTGTGGTTGTTGCTGCTGCTGCTGCTGCTGTTGTTGTTGTTGTTGTTGTGGTGGTGGTGGTGGTGGTGGTGGTGGTTGTTGTTGTTGTTGTTGTTGTTGTTGGTGGTGGTGTTGTTGTTGTTGTTGTTGTTGTTGTTGTTGTTGTTGTTGTTGTTGTTGTTGTTGTTGTTGTTGTGTGTGTGTGTGTATGAGTGTGTGTGTGTGTGTGTGTGTGTGCGTGTGTGCGTTTTCTCACTCTTTCCTACTGTTTAGCCTGTTGTGGCTCGAGGTTCCCGCCTGAACGCCGGCCAAGATCCCGGTCCAGACGGCCAAGATCCCTGGTGAAGCATATTCGAAGGTGCGCATGGCCGTGCTCTCACCCCTGGCCCCTGCAGCCGACCTTCCTGCTCCTCGACCCGCCTCTCCACCTCTGCTGCTCTTCGGGGGCTTTGCGGGGGGGCAGTCTTCGATTCTGGGGTTTTAGGGGTGTAGTTTGTTGGACGTCGCGTTCTCTCCTCACGGCCTGCGGGCTGATCTCATCCCTTGCGTTGAAGGCCAGACGTCCGGCCGGAAGGAAATTCGAAGAGGCAACAAAAAAAGTCTTCGATTCTGCTCAGGACGTGGGATCTCCGGGCCCACAGCCCGTTGTGGCTCGAGGTTCCCGGCCCGCCTGCGTGGCCTTCCGTGGCGCCATGGGCGCAGGGCCCCTGTGGCTCGCGGTCCACGCCCAGCGCGGCGGCGCGCAGAGGGGGCGGGGGCTGGGCAGGACGAGGGGGGAGTGGGCGCCCCGCCTCTCGGAGGCCCCCCGTCGAGTAGGGGATCGACCACAGAACTGATTTGCTCCAAACTTGATGTGTTCGTGGAATCCATGAGAAATGCGTATCGTGTTCGTGGGTCTGCGAACATTCTCTGCATGACTCGACGAGAAAATCAATTCGGGTAGTCGATCCCTTACTCGACTCCTGAAGTCCAGCGATGAAGGGAGGAACGTGGGGACAACGAGAAGACACCATGAGATCCTGGCGTTGCCATCTTCTCACACGGGTCGTTTTCGCCCAGTTTCGGGGCCCCCGGGCCCTGGCAGATCGATCCGGCTCGAAGTATGCAGAGCTCCAGTTGTGACTTTCCGCTATGTTGCATTCTTGTCGCACTGTCGAGTCTCAGGGCACGATGACCGTGAGTGAGATGTCGCGGACTTTTGTCGACGCCGATCTTGGTCATGGTCCATGTCGGCCGTCGCCGACACGCCATAATTTGTCATGAGTCGACGGTGACCAGAATGGACGGTGAAGAAGATCGGGTTCAGTCTTGGCCATGGTCCTCGGTTTCTTTTCCTCCAAAGAGAGGGCGACCATCTCGGAAGGCAACCCGCCTCGTGGGAGCTTTCCCGAATCCCAGCGATCGAAGAAAGCAGCACGGGGAGCATGACCGAGGTCTCGGGGGACCTTGCCGATGCCGATCTTAGACACGGTCCATGTCGGCCGTTGCTGTTGTTTTGGTTCGAGCCTCAAGCGAAAAAGAGGCCATAGAGGAGAGATCCAGTGTACAGTTGGGTAAAAAGAAAAACTGTGCACTGCGTCTCTCCGTTTTTTTGTTGGACCCCCCCACTGTGCACTGCATCTCTCCGCTCTGGTTCGCGAGAACGACCCACGAATCGACGGTGACCAAGGTGGGCGGTCACCAAGATCGGCACCGCCGTTTTCGCGTTCAGTCCTGGTCACAGTCTTTTTTTTCCGTGGGAAAAATAAACGGCGGAAGCCTCGGAAGGCACGCCGCCTCGTGGAAGCCCTCTTGAATCCCAGCGAAGCCTCAACGAGGGTACAGGGGCCCTTCCAAGAAGCCTCCCGCCGCCGTCGGAGCAGAAGCTTTTGGAGCTCCGCGTGGACTTCCTGGATCGGCGGGGGAAGCTCCTCCCCGGCGCCCAGAGCGCGCCAGGGGCGGCTCCAGAGGCGCCACCAGGGGGGCCCAGCGCGGATCCAAGAAATCGGCGCGGAGCTCCGACGGTTTATGCTCCTGCAGCTTTTTCTTCTTCGAGTCTTGCCCAGGGCGCGCCCCCAGACGCCGTTTCTGTTCCCTCCCCTGATATTTTTTTGCCTCCCCCGTCTTCCATCGGGGGCCCCCAAACGGGGCGGTGACCACACCGTGTGGTGAGTCCGTGGGGATTCGGGGTCACCGCACGGTTTTGGGACTTGGGCCGTTCTCCGAGGATGTCTCGGACGACCGGGGCCTCCAGGGTCCCAAAACCGTGTGGTGACGGACCCTGCGGTGAGGTCTTTTTGGGGATTTCGAGGTCACCGCCGGGTCTGTCACCACACGGTTTTGGGACCCCTGGCTTCCAGTCCGCGGCCCCGCAGAGCTCCCGACTATCTCCCCAGGGGCCCCGAAGAGGACCCCGGAGGCGGAGGTGCAGCCAGAGCCGCCGCCCAACACTGGGAAGAGCAGCTCGCCCGAGACCTGCACCCCTCGCCGCCCACCTGGAGGGTTTCGCCGAAGGGCTTAGGCGACCCGTGCTCCTCCTTCTCCTCCTCCTCCTCCTCCTCCTCCTCCCTTTCCTCCTCCTCCTCCTCCTCCTCATCATCATCATCATCACCAGCATCATCATCATCATCATCACCATCATCATCATCATCACCATCATCATCATCACCCTCGTCATCATCATCATCATCACCATCATCATCATCACCATCATCATCATGATCACCCTCGTCATCACCATCATCATCATCACCATCATCATCATCACCCTCGTCATCACCATCATCATCATCGTCATCATCATCATCATCCTCATCATCGTCACCATCATCATCATCATCGTCATCATCATCATCATCATCACCATCATCATCATCATCATCACCATCATCATCATCACCACCATCATCATCATCACCATCATCATCATCATCATCATCATCATCATCATCATCGTCATCAACATCATCATCATCATCATCATCATCATCATCATCATCATCATCATCATCATCATCATCATCATCATCATCATCATCATCATCATAATCATCATCATCATCACCATCATCATCATCATCATCATCATCATCATCATCGTCATCATCATCATCTTCTTCTTCATCGTCTTCATCTTCCTCCTCCTCCTCCTCCTCCTCCTCCTCCTCCTCCTCCTCCCTCTCCTCCTCCTCCTTTTTCTCCTCCTCCTCCTCCTCCTCCTCCTCCTCCTCCTCCTCCTCGGGTCGCCTACGGCCCCGGGGGAAACCGTGCACCCCCACCCCCCGCGGTTTCAAGAGGGGACCCTGAGGGATGTAGCCCTACAGATCGGACGACGTCCCAGGTCGAACTTGCATCGCTTGAGGCCTCTGGTCCTTGGGGCCCCTCGGCCTTTGAACACCCCTGCTAGGGCTTCGGGCTGCGCGCAGGCCCAGGTGTCGCCTCCCGAGGCGCTGCTGCGTGCTCCTGGGTAGGGGTGTTGAGACCGCCCCAGACCACTCGGGGGGCCTGCTGAGGCAAGCCTGGACTACCTGGGGGGCTGCCTGTGTCCAGCCCGGAGCCTTTCCATTTGAGCCCCCCCCTTTTGGCGCGCCGCCGGCCAGCTCTGGCTGCGGGCGGGCGTGCCGAGCAGGCCGGTCCCAGAGCTGCTGCTGCTGCAGCGGGACGCGAGGCTGTCGCGGCAGTCGGCTGCGGCACTGGATCTTCCCACGCGCCGCCCCGCCTCCTCCGCCTCCTCCTGGACTTCATCATCTTTGGGCACGCTCGACCTCCTGGACTCATCATACTCATCTTTGTCCGTCCATCATCCGTCCCCCTTCCTCCTCCGCCTCCTCTGGACCTGCTCCTCCTCCTCCTCCTCCTCCTCCTCCTCTTCCTCCTCCTCCTCTTCCTCCTCCTCCTCCTCGGCCTGTGGAGGGGGAGGAGGAGGGAGCGTGGAGATCCACCCCGCCCTGGTAAGGCCTGCTGCCCCCCCGGAGGTCCTGACCCATGGCCCTCGGAGCCCCGACGAACACGGATCTCAAGATACCGCCGCCCTCCCTCTCTCCTCTCTCCGCGCCGCGCCGGCGGAAGGACCCCAGCGAGGCCGCGGCGCTCTCCGCCCTGGGGCGTGCCGAGGACGCCGTCGACCTGGAGCTGGCGGAGCTGGAGCGGGTCGCCCGCCAGGAGCCCCTCCTCCTCCTCCTCCTCCTCCTCCTCCCACTACCCTCCTCCTCCTCCTCCTCCTCCTCCTCCTCCCTCCTCCCTCCTCCTCCCACTACCCCCCTCCTCCTCCTCCTCCTCCTCCTCCCTCCTCCTTCTCCTCCTCCTCCTCCTCCTCCTCCTCCTTCTCCTCCTCCTCCTCCTCCTCCTCCGCTCCTCCTCCTCGCTCCCTGCGTCTCATCTCTGGGGGGTCCAGCTGGGGCTCGACAGCTTGCCGCAGGGACGTCGCTCTGGGGCGCTCTGGGGCTCGACAGCTTGCGGCGGGGACGTCGCCCAGGTGCCCAGGGAGCGAGATTCAGCGTCGCTGGAGTCGGTTGATGGGCTTCATCTTATTGCGGGGGACGGCGTTGGTATGGCGTCAGTTGTGGTTCGAACGCGCCGAGATTGTTCATCTTCTTTCCTTCTTGCCCCCTCTGATCTGCCAGTTATTACCTGCTTCACTTCCTCGTCCTTTCCAACCTTGCCGCTGCTCTCATCGGTCGGATTTACCAGCTGTTGGCAGGGGGCGGTGCGGACCACAGCCAGTCTTCTGGCGGGGCCGCGCGCCCAGCTCGCCAGCGGATTTGCAGGCGGAACTGTGGCTGGAATTGTGACCAGGAGTGTGACCGAATTTGTGACCGGAATTGTGCCCAGGTTGGGCAGCAATTCCGCATGCATTTCTGCCAGCGAGGCAGGCCTGCGTCTCCGCTAGGAGACTGGCCCTGTGAAAGCGCGAGATCCATCATCTTTTTATTAGAAGTAACTCCTCCTCCCTGTCGCACCCCCAGATGTGTCGGTCGGGGCTCTCTGTCGGCCATGACGTGTGCGAGGGGTGGCCCCAGTGGATGCGCCGACCACGCCCTCTGCTCCCCCCCCCGTCTGCTCCGTCTCCTCCGTCTCTGACGGCGCTGGCGGCGGCGGCGGCGCCCGCGGCAGAGGCGGCGACGGCGGCGGGAACAACGACGGCGGCGGCGGCGACGGCGGGGGCGGCGGCGGGGGCGGCGGCGGCGCGCCGCCCGGAGGGCCCCGCGCCGGAGGCAGCCGCGGGCCGCCGCCGCCGCGCGGCCGCGCAGGCGGCCCCGCAGGGCAGCCGCCGTCGCAGTCGACGCTCCGCTGTTCGAGCAGGGGGTCGAAGACAGGATTGGTCTACCCCCAAGTCTATGTGTCCGTCAAATCTAGGGGCAAGACGTCGCCACGCCTTCCGCCATGCCGGCCGCGTGCGACCAGCGGGCCGGAGGGCGGTGCTGCGCTTGCGGGACCCATAGAAGCGTAAGGGGGGGCAAGGAAAGCAGAGGAAGACACCCAAAAGCACTGGACCCAGAACCTGCAAGCACGGCCCCGGCTGCGAGGGGCCACGGGGGCGGCGGCCACTCGGGAGAACCCGGCAGCCTGGCAGAGATGGAGGCCAGACACCACCAAGAAGCCGCCCCCGGACGCTTGGGGGAACCCGCCGCCGGCAGAGTGCAGTGTGGAAGCACAGACACTCGACAGCTCAGCCAGACAACGGGCTTGCCCTTTCCTTGCCGTCTCTCCCCACGAGCAAGTGCACAGGTGGACACTCATGACCTCTTTCCGGTGCCGATGGGCCATTTGGGGTGCCCTCCTCGCCCGACCATGGCCGTAACCACCGCCGAGCGAGACCCGCGCCCGGGGGGCGCACACCCCACCCGACCATGGCCGGAGCCACCGCCGAGTGACACGTGCCCACCCGGGTGGCTGGGCGCCTGGACCACGGGCGTCGCCGTCCTGCCTCTCCGTCCCCCCCCCCAGGGGAAAGGGCCGAGGACCCCACCGCCGCCGAGCGGAGGTTGGATGGGGAGGGTGGTACACTCCCGCCCTCGGTCGCAGCACAGCGCCCGGAGAGAGGTCCAGCCTCGCCCGGCGCCAAAGACCCAACAGCAAAAGCACAGCGAACTTGACCCCACCAACAGCAGCTCGAGAGGGCCCCCTCCCCTTGGGGGGGGGGCATGGGGTTAGCCGCATCCCCTTCCGCCACCGCCCCACCGGGCCCGCACATGCCGAAGAAGCCCGGGCCGCGCAGAACCGACCCCAACCGGGGGGGGGGTGAGCCACGTCGGGACTGTAAGCCCCAAGGGAGGAGAGGAGAGGAAGAGAGAAAAGGGTGAGGGAGGGGGGAGGGGGAGGAGGGACAAGGAGAGCGGCGGAAGGGAAGGGCACAGTCCAAGCCCGGCCTGCCCCCCACGCCCGGGGTAGCCTGGGATGGGGCCAGGTGGCGAGGAGGAGGGGCTCGTCAGGTGGCGAGAAGGAGCGACACGTTGCCCCAGGTGCGGCCGGGCTCAAGTAGAACAGGAGGCCTGTGTACCTGCACCTGCTGCGTATTTTTTTTCGTAGGTTCGCCGACCATTTCAATGCCTGGGTAAGTCAACTCTTCACGCGTCTCCCCACTTGCTCATTCACAGACCCTGCCCATGAGAGTGGACGGCAAAAGAGACGAAGAGACACATGCCCTGAAACAAAGCGGGTAATTAAGGGTGAACAAATAGATCTCTGGAACAAGGAGGTGGCCTTGGAGGGCCTCTTCGGACCATCACTGGGGATCGCGTGGGGGCGAGGGAAGGAGGAGGATGATGAGGATGAGGTGGAGGCGGAGGTTGGGGGGTCAAAGGACCCCCCCCTGCAACATGACAAATTCGAAGACATGATGACGGCTTGTTTTTTTCTCAAACAGCTTCACGTCTCGCATCGGGCATCCACATTTCGAGCCCGCACCGCGTCGCTATGAGGGTGAACGGGAGTGATTGGTTCAGGATGATTACGATGAGCAGGGGGAAGAGGAGGAAGATATACTCATCAACATCAGTGCCCTTTTTTCCTCGTCCCCACTATCTTCCTTTTCCACCTCCTCCTCCTTCTCCTATCATATGTCCGCCACACCATCGTCATACTCCTTCTCCTCCTCCTCCTCCGCCTCTTCATCCTACGTCTCCTGCTGCTCCTCGTATCACTCCTCCCCATCCTCCTTCTCATTCCCTTCAGTCTCCTCTTCCTGCACTACACCTGCTCCGACTCCTCTGCCCGCCCTCCTGTGCCTCATATCATTTTTTCTACTCACATCATGTTCTCCTCCTTCTTCCAGAAGGGCTATGGCAGGGGGCTGAACAAGGTGGAGGTCGAGTCATATAGTGAGGAGGAGGAGGAGGAGGACGAATAAGAGGTGTGAGATGGTCAGGAAGAGGCTTAAGAGGAAGTGGAGATAAGGACTGACCTCCTCCTCCGCCTCTTCCTACCCCTTCGCCTTATTCTCCCCTGCTCCGCATCCTCCTCCAACACCCCTCCTCCTAGCACTCCCCTTCTTGCTCATTCCGTATGGGAGATGTGAGGAGGGGGAAAGGAAGGAAGACGTGGAGGAGTGAAAGGAGGATGACAGGGAGTTATTGTTTCAGGATGATGACGATAAGGAGGGGGTGAGAGAACATACTTCCTCAACAACAGTATCCTTTTCTCCCCTCCTCCCCATCAGCTTCGTTTTCCTCCTACTTTTTCCTGACAGCTGTCCGCAACAGCCTTGTCGTCATCCTCCCCATTCTCCTTCTCCTCCTCCTCCTCATCTTTATCCTACGTCTTCTGCAGCTCCTCCTGTCACTCCTCCTCCTTCTCCTCCTCCTCCTTCGCATTCCCTTCATCCCCCCATCCTCATACTCCTCCTCTTCTCCTCCTCCTCTTCTTCTTCCTCCTGGATCACACCTGCTCCGACTCCTCTGCCCGCCCTCCTCTGCCTCATCTAATCCGTAAGGACGATGAGAGGAGGCTGAGAAGATGGATGATGAGTCAAGCAGTGCGGAGGAGGACGAGGAAGAGGTGCGAGATGATCAGGGGGACTGTGGAGATGACGAGGATCTAAGCATTGGCATCCTCCTCCTCCTCCTACCCCTTCGTCTCCTTTTGATCTCCCTCTTCCTCATCCTCATTTAGCTTACCTGTCGCGCTTCTGGCATGCGGGAGGACGAGGTTGAGGAATGCAAGGATCAGGACGATAAGGATCGGACGATAAGGACGAGGAGAAGTAGGAGCAGGAGGAGGGGGATGAACAGGAAACGGGCAGTCGTGTTGAGGATTATATGTTCCTCCTCCTATTCCTCCGCGTTGTCACCATCCTGCTCCAACAACTCCCCTTCCTCCTCCTATCACCGCTCGTCGTCATTCTCCTTCTTCTCCTCCTCCTCCTCCTCCTCTTCTTCCTCCGATCTCACCCATGAGAGGACGAGGGGTGGGGTGGGTATCGGAGGATCATGGGGGGAGGAGGAGTGATACGGGGGAAAGCACGGATGATTTAGAGGACGGTGAGGTTCAGGAGTTGTTCGTCTTCCGTCTACTGTCCCCAGCATCATCACCCTCATCACCACCATCATTATATCATCTCTGCTCCTTCTCATAACACTCCTGTAAGAGGAGGAGGGAAGGGAGAAGGAACATGAGTGAAGTCTCCCCCTCATCTTCCCCAGCTGTATCCCTCTGACAACTCCTCTTCCTCCCTCGCATCGTTCCTGAATATCTTCCCTTAGTATCCTC